TGGGTTTTCGGACTTTATCCATCGTCCTGGTTTTTAAGATAACTAAGAAAAACACGACGTTTCGGAAACTGGATCTGTTTCCGTCCTCAGGTGAAGGAAAACACTTATTCTGTTGGGTCCCTTAGAAAGAGCTAGCCTCAATCACCCAACAGAATAGGTGTTTTCCCTCACCTGAGGATGGAAACAGATCCAGTTTCCGAAACGCCGTGTTTTTCTTAGTTATCTTAAAAACCAGTACGATGGATAAAGTCCGAAAACCCAGTATCTCTGTGTGTTATACACCATCGTCAGAATCCTATAGTAACTACTTATTCAATGTCACTGTTAAAAAGCCGGTCATGAGTACTAAACTGGTACACGTCTGACACAATGAGGCAGAAATTGTAAAAAGTTGTTTTGTACGGTACGCAGTAGGTAGCCCTCGCACCCATATCGGAAGCTGGTGACTGCCCCTGGCTGCTTGTCTGCTACTGTAGATCAGAGCAGAATGCGGCTACCATTCATTATAAGGGGACGCGCCATGCGGCCTAAACAATGTACTTCCTCTATCTACTGCAGAGGCATATAATTCCAACTTCTGTTTTGCACAAACTTGTTGTATGGCCATTTCAACTTTCCTCTGCTACCAACTTGCTTTCGATAAGCATCATTCTCTGTTGCAGTGTCTTATTACGAAATGTTTGTTATTGAATAGTGGTTAGAAATAATTAATTCTCTTCGCTGTGTGCCTCTAACGAGTGAAATGTTTATTGTCTCCTATCAATCTGCTCGCAGAACAACCAAGCTAAGGACTGGACGACCGGACAGTCAGAATTCTATTCCTGGCACGGAGAAACTTCTTTTTTTTCTGCATTGCGCCCAGACTACATCTGAAGCCCACCGAACTTTCTATCCCACGAGTACCGAGGCCCCTTTCCCTCAGAGCATGAAGCTGACCACTCTCGTCTATCTAGTGTCGAGGTTAAGAATGCGTGGAACCATAACTCCATTTGTCTTACGTCTCTTCATAGCGGGGTTCTAATTAACAACTATGACATATCAGTCTGTGTCGAGAGCCGAGAATTTCAGATAAGGCTAAGCTCAGAACATATAGAGCTTATCATGGGAGCAAAAGATGGCGTCTCTACTCTTTTTCCATATACCATGTAGTGTAAAACTTACAGCTGTGCGCCTTATAAGCGTACAAAGCTCGGTGCCTTTACACAGAAGCAAATTAATATTTGACTTCCCACCTTTACTAGTAAGGAGTACAATAGAATATTAATTTTAGTTTTCAAATAGAAGTACTTTGTCCTCCTATTGCAAATTTGTTATTCCTTTACATCCTTTAAGGAAAAAAGAATAAATTCGATAATGAAGAGAATAGATGAAAATTAACAAAAATTCACATCCCCTCTTTTCCATGAAAATGTGGAAACAATTCAGACATTTCAGTATTGCATTATGGGATTGGCATTACTGAAAAAACTGACTGTATATGCGTGTAACAATTTTGTCGAAACTCTGGTAAAGCATGTCTCCTTGCAGAACCTGTTGCAGCGAAAACAGTAATGGTTAGAGGTTGCCTGGTCAATGTGTGCTTATCTCAGCGGGTTGTTCGTACCTGCAGTGAAAGGTGAGCCCCGGTGTATAAGCACCACACCATGGTTCCTTCATAATAAATCCAGACGCACAAACAAACTTCTATTAATTCTGTGAACCACGCGCTGTTTAGTCAAGATTCTACACAGCGATTGTGACCATACTTCATATAGTATGTTGCAAAACTTAATACCACACGAAAGAGGATCTGTTCTACATTTAATGGCCAGATCTTGAAAGAAAAGAACAAGAATATCTGGGACGAACTAATTGCCTACTTTCTTTTGATACAACTTGGACCGCAATCAAATCGGCGCCTCCAAAATTTCTCCTTTGCAGCGGGAATGTTTTTACCGCTTCATTGCCTAGCAACGAAAAGAAGGATGCACTTTACCGAGCCTTTGCCTGGCAACGGTAGGGATACAAATACAGACACACAGAATGATGGGAGAGATTTATGAAGTAAGCCGTTGAGATGGGCTCAGGTGCCATGATATGCATACCAGATTACACAAAAATTGGTTCTGGCATTCAAAAGTTAATAAGAAGGGATTCACAGACACACAGACAGCATGGAAATCGCATAAGTCTGCTTTAGGAAAGTAGGCTAAAATAGATTGTAAGTTTAGATGGACTGAGAGTAAATCTGGAACTTACAGCGTACCTCTTCCGCAGGTAGCACCCCGACCGCCCAAACTATGGCCAGTCACGTAACTGACTGAGCTACTGCTACTCATTCAGTTCTATACGAATGTATCGGTGTAACCTCATGGCGCTGCATCATCGCGGGTTTGTATTTATGAACCTGTGAACCGCGTTTAATACGAAGTTGTAGATACTTATCCATGTTAAACTCCGGATACCTGGCTCCATTGCTTTTTTAGGTATGGCCCAAACCGAAAGATAAATATAGATCGTACTGCTGCTTTGTTATTATTTCATGTTTTATAGATCTTTCTCAACTGAAGTCATATTTTTCGAACAAAAAACTGCATATAACTAGGCTACTAATGTCCTTAGGTTCTTCCTCACTTCCAAAGTTCTCACGACAGGAAATTTAAAATACAATGCAAAGGTTAGATGGCCTCTGTATGAA